TAATTATCCATTTATCCTCTGTCTTTTGAGATATGAGAAACGTTGAGCATGACAGAGCAATTGCGTTGCTTCGTTATGAATAGACACTTAATCATTAGTCAGTGGCCGCAGCTGCCTACAACAGAGGGAAATACGTTTGATTCGACTGAACAGCAACAGCCGCTTTTCTATCAAGTGTTCATACTGCTTACCATTAATGAGGTAATTACAACAAACAACAACAATTAACTTATGCTTCCTCGTGACTGACGAGAATCAGTGCAGTTTTTTCCCGATGCCCATGCTCGCTTATCCAGCTATTTGTTGGCACAAGCTTTCATACCGTTCTGCCAACTCATCTTTACACCTGAGGCGAAGACTTCCAATTAGGCGTCAATCATGTGAGGTTGCCAACCCATTCTCGCTTTCTCTTGTGTGAAACTGATATTACGTCATGAATTTCCGTACATATTCTTATTTCGCTTTTCCTCAGCTTGTCCCTATTTTTATTCCATAGCCCGCTTCTGCTCTTGTAGGAATACTTCATACTTCTTTGTTAATGACCAAGTATCGCAATCACATAAAGCAGTTGGGAACACCTTGCTTTCCCGGAATATGACTGTAACCGCAATTGATCACTTTATGTTTGCAAGAATGTCAACATTTCTCCTGTATGCACTGCACGTCGCACGACGTCTTGTGATCTCTAGAAAGACGGAGTGGTCTGATACGATTAGCTATCATAAGTACACATGGTCAGGGACTTCTGTTTAGCCATCACTGATGATTACTGTAGCTGGGTGTGCGAATTCGTTTCTCTTCATTTTCGTCTTCGTACTGCTGATTGATAGAGCAACCTGGTCGCTGCGTAACTGTAGCTCACATAACATGGCTTCAAGATGAAGAAGAAGAAAAAGAAGAAGAAGAATGAGATAATAATCATAAGAAAATCTCACCAGCCGTAACTGACCGCGTTTTAGTTTCCTACTCATGGCAGGCCTTCACGACTATCACAGTGAATAAACCTGCGCGAGCAGGAAGCCAATAGGTATTCCTCCTGCAAGACAACATTTCCGAATCATAAGAAAATACTTGCAGGCTAAACTAAACTAAAATAATAAACTTCCGTGAAATGGCTCTTCTAGCAATCTTACTACCTAACGTTTCTTCCATATTTACTCATGCGCCACTTCCTTGTTTTTATAATCATACGGAAACACTTTAATTCGAGTAAATAAATATTACTAAATGGGAGGAGATAAAAGTAACCTGACATATGTGATCTTCTGCTGAGATAGACGAAGAGAAATGAATGTCAAAATTATGAAAAATTTTATGTTAAACTTTTAAGGATACCCATTCGTTAACGTGATTTATTATATTACTTTTTCTCAATTTTCTGACGACTCCGCTTAAGCAATATCTGATTCTCAATTTTCGTAAAAGTCCATTCCATGTGTCGTTGTCCTCAATTTACAGGGTAGACGTCAAGAAGATAAATTCGTCATTGCTTTCTTTTGAGATTAACAGATTAATACATACCGTGGTTGCCAATAAGTCAGTCAGTTCTACATGGAGCCTGCTATTCTTATCCAAAAGCAGATCCATGCTGACTCCAGTCACACTCAACGTCAAGATCTTAAGCGGTAGGGTCAAGTTCTGCACAAATAACCACTGGTACCCCCACCTTATACGCATCGTAACAAATCCTCCTGCCTTTAGGTAAAGTTTCTTTGTTTTTACAGGCATTGCGTAATAATTATCTTGTTGCAGGATGTTGCATATATGCGGGTATT